TGGTTTTGGTTCCAGGTGTAGTATGTATAGGAGGATGGACATGGGTGTAAGATTGGATCACTCATTGTGCTATTTGGAGAACACTCTGCTGGACTCTAAACTTGGTGAGTGCCAGTGGGTTTGACCGCCAAATGAATCCAGTACAGCATGGGGCATAGCTATATTAGCCCAAATGGACTTCCAAATGGCACCTCCATGAATTCCCAAATGGCACTTTGGTTGAGCCTGCCCACTCTATGATAGATCCAGGACTTGATCCTTTCATTGGGCCTATCAGGCATCTGGCATTGGATCATCTGCAGATCCCCTCAAGAGCTGTTCTCCAGGTTTTATGTCAAAGTAGCTAGTCCAACAAATGTCCACTGATTGATATGGACAACCTTAAACACCAAAACTCTTGATCATGCAAACGAACATATCTTACCATGAATTAGCATGAACCTATCTTTGGCCTGGTTGGCCCTTGAATGGGACATGAAAATCACCCACATGAAGCCATCAGGCTTGCAACAAGTAGTCCATGACATGTTCTGTGAAATATAGGTAAACTTTAAGCATCAAAATTCTTGATCATGCAAATGAACACACCTTACCATGAAGTAGCATGACTCTATCTTTGGCTGATTGGCCCTTGCATGGGGCATGAGAACCACCCACATGAAGCCATCAGGCTTGCAACAAGTAGTCAATGACATGCTATGTGAAATCTATGTGCCATGAGGACACTGGCAAGAACACATGCAAGAACACACTAGTACCACCAGGATGTTTTGAAACCTGCTGGAATGCGCTCTTTTGCTCACTTCATTTGAAGTGGCACAAGGATTCTGAAGTCCTTGTTTTCAAAGTGTGAATGTGCAGTGGTGCAAGCCAAGGAAGAAGTATGCACAAACTTTGCAATCTCATTCTGTCTAACAGTAGCAAAGCATCCAGTCTTGTCCACTTGAAGGACTTCGAGCATGGAAACCAAAGAGTAAGCAATGTTGTCAATGTCCACATGCATCCAGACTTGGCAAACTTGCAGGCTGTTGGTCGAACTGTGAAGGAAACAAAAATCACCTTTGCTGCAAATACCTGCTGGTTGGAGGTGTGCCTGTGAAGAGCTGTGCACAATGGTGTCAGCAGGCAACTCAAAGGCATTTAACACAATGGCTTTCAAAGCCTTGCTTGCAGCACCTTTGTTGACAAGCCTTGCCTTCTCTGAAAAGAGGTTTGGTTCCTTCAGCTTGGCAAGGTCATGGCAAATAAGCTCTGAAAGTACACTTTTTTCAAAGGTCAAAGTGTTGCTGATCGAGGTTGCATATCCTTAACAGGGTAAGGGTCAATGAAACCTGTGGTGGATAATAATGACATTGGTTGAACATTGAACCAACACAGTAAACACTAAACACTTTCTTGAAATAGCCAAGCATCGCTTTACAACCTTATGTTTTCTTTCTTGGACAAAACAGCTGGGAAGTTGACCATGTTTTTGGAGATGAGTGCCAAAGTGAAGACACCAATGAAATTTGGTATGCATATTCTCTTTGAAACCACATGATATGCAAAGAGAAAGGAATGTCGTCACAGCTCTGTCAACCATAGCAGGGGTAATCTTTCCCTTGGGTACCAGCTGGATCAGGTCAATGATGTCTGCAAGTGCAAAGAACACCTGACACTTGTCCTTTGTAGATTGCTCTGCATTTGGGATGACAATCTGCATAAGAAAGTATCCAAAAACACCCAAAAGACCTATAGCTTCAGATGCAGTGCATTTGAAAGTGTTTGCCTTCGCATTTGCAACCTGTCTTTTTTTGGAGAACAAAGATGCCAAAGGTGTTGTCATTGACTTTGGCAGGACCCAGGTTCTGAGGCATTGCTCAATGGTGGGGTACACATTGCCAAACATACCATCAAGCTCCACCAGCAACAAATGCATAATTGTTTGGAAAATGCCTGTGACCAAGAAACAATGCATCCAGTCATGTATGAACTGAGAAATTGGGAGAACATCTTGGGACAAGCTCCTGCAGTGGAGTAAACCATGGATGCTGTAGTTGAATCCAACAGCTTGCTGCCACAAAGCAAAGTCTCCTTTGTTAAGAGTTGCCTTTTTCTCTTCAAGTCTTGATATTGTTTCAGCAATGTCTTGGTCAGTGGATTGCTGAATCCTTGTGAGGTCCCATTCATCTGCCACTAGGGTGTTGGATCCATCTTCTTGTAGTAATCCAGACTTTGAAGTAACCAAATTTCTGCAAAATATGCAGAACTTTGTTCCTGCATCACCTTTGAGATTGAATATGTACTTGTGCGCAGATCCATCTTGTAAGAATGCACCCAGTGTATAAAACATTCTAATTGTACACCCTCCCTGATCTTTCAACAAGAACCCTGCTTCTTTGGGATTGCAGGAATCTGGGCGCAGGATGCAATTCAAAATAACTTGTGTCACTTGGGACATCCCAGACTCAAGTTCTCCAACAAAACTTGATCTACAAGCCATGATGCAAAACCATGCCTCTTCTTTGCTGAGGGCAACTGGACCAAATTCCATAAAGGAAATGTATATGCATTGGACTTTTCTGCTAACATCTGCACTTAACACATTTCCTGGTACCACCTCATCACTGTAATATATGATTCTCCAGGGCTTTTGTGCAGTGCATGGGTGTTGGGGCAGTGTCCTGGCCACCAACTCTTGCAGTCCACCACCTTGTTGATATGCAGCATGTAACATTGTGAGAAAGTTCACAAACAATAATGGCTTCTCTGCACCATCCTTGCAAACAACATTGGTAGTACTCAGCATAGGTCCATATGCATTGTAACCTTTCACTGTGTAGTCTCTGGCTTCAGCCACATGTTTCCTGGAATGTAGGTCAGGAAGACCATTGAGTTCAATGTCTTGAATCACTTCTGAGAGCGCACTTGCTGTGATCTGAGGGTTGTTTCTCCTCAGGCCTTCCAACCTTCTAAGTTTGGAAGCCCTAGCATCCATGGCATAGAATGCTGAATGTGTAGCCTAAAACATGGTATGCCATGATAAGGTGGTGCATGTAACACTTGAAAATGCCAACACTTCAAAAGACACACATGATGTGAGGCCTTGTGGGCCTATAGCATATGATGATGAATTTGACATGAACACAAACCACAAGCTTGAAGGCTTAGCACATGATTGCATGTGCATGTTGTGAACAGGATGACACAGCAACAAACTGTGAGCCACCAACACTAAGTGCAAACTTAAACCAATTGACATACACTGCTTGACAAAAGTGCTTGCAGTTCTAGTCATAGAGTTATATTTGGTAAGCTTTTGATATTGGTCCCACACATGAAAACATTATGAATGACACATGCAATGCCTTGCAAACACATAGTGAAGGATTGCATGAAAGAAGCTTATGCTTGATAAATGATGTAGCCATGCGCATGAGCATGAAAGCTCTAGCAGTCAGTCTTTTCACAGCAAATCATGTGTACTGTCTTTGTAATCACTACACAGGCCTTGTTAGCCCAAACTTCATGTACAAACTGTTGAGCACAGTATCTACATCTCTGTCTTCAAGTCTGTAAGTTGTTTGGAGTCTAAGGAGATAGTCTTCAGCAGAAAGCCTCAGATTGAGAA